TTCGAGACTACCAATATATCAATTATATGAGATTTATTTACCATATTTCGTTTAAGGTAGTTGAAAAAGTCACTGTAGTGACTACGCTATTCGGGAAAATTAATTATCATTCCTTCATAACTTGAAGCTTCCAAAGGTGAATATGGTGCCTATTCATTTTATTACAAAAAAATTTAAAAATATATCTTTAAGTCAACTTCACAGGCCTAGGAGGACGTAGTCAAGATGAGTAAACTGGTAAAAATCTAGCAAAATGTATGAATAAAAATAAAGATAGAGAATAAGATGTTTAGTTCCTTTTCGTGCCATTCTTTATACTTATATTTATTTCATGAATGTGTGTTTATATTATCATGTACCTCCAAGAAGAAACAATCAGTGTTAACTCCGCGAAATTTGAACAGGGCGTAATGCCAATCCTGAGCCATCAAGGTTAAATAGCACATGGAAACGTATGGCTGCGATTAGATTATTCAGAAAGGACGACTGTGGATCTAATATATGAATATAATCAGAAACAGTGAATATTAGCACTCAAATTGGCCTGAATAGGAAGTAATCAAATCATTTCATGCCACTTTGTACTCCACTTTTTGTTGCTCTTATGAAAATACATAGTTTGTAAGGAAGAGCCGGCTGATCTGCCTGACTTAGGGCTAACGCGAAGCTTTTATATTTTGATCCAGTTAGGTCCGTGGCAATTAAGTGGCATGTTAGACTGAAGCTCGGTCCATTTCATTAGAATCAGAGGAGGAAAAGTTGGTATCGCCTACTGAGGGGATCGAATCATATAATCAGGCATTTTCACACGAAATAATATCACAGCAACAATGCCATCTCATAAGATTACTCGAAATCCAAGTGCACTTAATTCATATGAGTTAATGATGCTGATCTCCATCTTGGGGTATTTATTTAGAAAATGTAATTTTTAAAACAGAATTTTGTCAACTAATTTTGGCTGTGAAACATGATGCTTTAACAGTAGAAAATTAGTGGAATACTAAAACTTGCATTTTTACCATTTTCCAGAGGGCTCGCTAGATTCAATCCGTTTAGTATTTTTCTCTTTCCTATAATACCTAATCAAATAGCCGAACGGTGTATATGAGATGTAATCTCGAAACTCTACTTACATACGAAAAGCCTAACGGTTTGCCTTTTGTCGTGTCGAATATTCTTTTGCAAAAGTTTCTCTTTTTTCGATTATCTGTACGATGTATTTTATTAAACAAGAGCAGCTATAGTTTTTTTTACACACCGCTTATACCAAAACTAACCATGTAAGTCTTCGACAATGATTGCGCTTGTTGGCTTGCTCAGTATAGCTCATCCGCTCATTAGACTCGCCATACACGTCCAGATCAAAGTTGGGACCCATGCAGTTGTTCACAGTCATTGATTCTAAAATCAGATAAATTGATTAAATAGATCAATTTTACGAATAAATGACACGGGAATCATAAAAGAAACACAGGGTCAACAATAAACGTGAAGCAACAACGAAGCCTTAGTTTATCCAGGCAACGAGACATCGAGCCCAAGCGGTTCAATTCTGATCTTTTTGTCTTGATTACGTGTCTTCAACTTCTCAGTTCGCCGTTGCATCTTTGATCGGTTGTTCTTGATCTGCTTTAACGCCAAAAACACCGACTTCATCGCCTGGCCCACGAGAGGATGATCTGTGTCGTAGAGAATCGGGTCTAGTGGAAGACGACGCGATCCCAATTTGCAAGCCTCGATCAACTCCTCCACATCGTAAAGGTCACGCTCTACAAGCCTCAGGCAAAATAAAGAAAACGGGTATTGCAAACATAATGAATGAGATAGAAAACATGCGATTCTCATTGGGAGCCCATTGATATTTGATTCCTTCGCCTTGTAAACATTTCAGGGAATCTACCCCAACTAGGGCTTTGCACTATCCAACATCCTTCATGCTTTTAAGTTCAAGAGATGATGAGCTTAATGGGAATACTTTATTTACTAGACTCCGGTTATTCCTACTGATACTTGACTCTGAAAGTTATCGGAAGCGCTCTGGAATTTTTAGAAACGAATATTTTCTTGATAAAACTTCGGGGTTGACATTTTACCCCATAAAATACACAAAACTAGCACCAGAATAAGCATGACTTCAAAGCAAAAGCAAAGCTATCTTAACCCGAATCGTCTGGTGAGGAATGTTATACTGATAGACGGCTGTGCTTATTCAATTGGACTCGATATTACACTGTTAAATCCAACTACTTACAACAAATTCAGCAGCATATTAAGTTTAAACGTAAATACACTGCTTTATTTAAATTTAAAAGTGCTCCATAAAAGATGATGAAGGAAATGTGCTTATTTCCACTAGAAATTCATCTTCCTGTCGTGGGGTCTAGGGGTTAAATATCTTCTCTCCCCTTTAATACGCACGCGGTTGATTAGCATAACACTTGAAGAGCCTATGAGATGATGAGGCGAGGTCGCTAGTTTGAAATTGCAGTCTAGTCTGAATGAGAGAAGAATTTTCGGAATCATGTCAAAATGTAATTCATTGCAAAAATAACTTTCACTATATGCAATAGCAAACGCTTCTAGGTCGTTAAATCTTGCCTAGAAATGATCCAGAATCTATCATGATCTGCCAAAATGGATTTTGCCAAAAAACAATACCTCCCTTGGCAAATCTCCTATTTTATTCTTAGTTCTACTGGAGAGTGGATGTTTCTTAGGAATTCATACTGAACTGTATGATAAATGCCTACATGACATTTTCTTCACACCGAATTTATTTGTTGAAGACCCATTTGGGACTTAGAAACTAAGCGAGTCAGTTTTTAGATACCCATATTCTCTAACCTAGTTGCCCACTTGACGTCATTTCCAAGCTGCACCACAGTCATTGTTGAGCAGTTACGTATTATTTGATAACACGGTAGACTGATTCCATCGCTGAAGGTTGTCTGGCCGTCGCCTCAATTTGGAAGCCTCCTATACTTTGCCCACTTTATATGATGACCTGGTTGCGCCTCCTTCCACCAAGTCTCGATCTGAGAACGAAAATATGCTTGGAATTTGCCATAACTAACACATAACAGTTCTCTGGGCCAACTCTTAACAATAAACCACGAGAATCATACTTTTGCAAGTTACAGATTTCAAGTCATTTTATAATTTAAGCCAAGTTTCATGGACAAATGAACTTTCTGGTATATTCAA